TCAAACTGATGGTTTAATAGACGATGCTTTGCAGAAAGCAATAAAATTAGAAAAATTTTTGAAAAAAATTAGAAAAAAATAGTTGAATATTTTATTAGGGCTTTTAGATGTTGTTATGTTTGGTGTAAAATAATCTACTTCTTAGAGAATGACAAGAAATTATTGGAAGTCCAGATGCTGGGAATATTTCTAAACTTACACATCATTAATGTCAATAGAACCAACCATATAGCTAATGGTAAAAAGGGATCCATGACTTATTTGTCTAATAAAATTCAAAACAAATTAGTAATGCTATTGGAAATCATAGTAAAACATGGTTGGTGTATACAAGGGTGTATCATCCATTATTTCCTCACAAATTTGATTGTACCAAATTTCTGCAATACTCAGCTCATAATCTTAATTTAATATGTGAACTTGTTGCCTTTGAGAATTGAAATGTGAACAATTTTTAGGGTTGTTCATAGCATATATACATTTTTTTTGTGAAGTCAATGAACAGATGGAACATTACTAAGTCTGTTCTCAGAATTCTATTTCGGGTAGCTGATAGGCACCAGGATCAACTGCCCTCAAGGTACTCCTTTGGCTGTGGTAAAAAACGTAAATTCATATAAAAAGATTCCAGAGACTAGGAGACCTGTTTAAATCTAATATAATATCCCTTGCAGAGATTGTTTGCTCTGAATTCTTTTTTGTCCTTCTTGATTATTTTGTTTTCCACTTCGCTTTTCTTTTGTGGCCTACAATCTAGCTAACATCTTGTTTGTTTATGCGTTCTAAATGTTCCTTGCAAGTAATAGACCTAAGATATTTCTTGGGTCCTTCAGAATTTCCTAACTCCACTGAGTCTGAGAGTTCAATAGACTCTTGAGAACACATGTTTTCCCAAGAGTCTTAATTACCTTTTAGTAAAATCTTGGCATATTCTGGGTGCATGTCAGAGCAAAGGCTTCTAGTCTTTAGAGGTTTTTTGCCCACATCTCAATTATGTTTTTCATTATCCTCTTGGCAAGCTGGCTGTATTTCTAAATCCCTGGAGCTCTCCTTAGACTTTGTATAATCTGAGGTCTGTTTTTCTCCTAAGTGACTAACAGTTGTAAACTTTATTACTCTGTTTTTATAGTCCATTTCACAGATAGATTATATGAACTCTTTTATAGAGGATTATGACAACTCAGGGTCGGATAAAGCTTTAGGGCCTTGCTATTCAAAATGTGGCGTCACCTGAAAGCCCAGGAGGAATGCAAAATCTTGGGCCCAAGTCCAGGCCTACTCAATCAGAACGCATATTTTAATATTCCCCTACCCACAATAATGTGTGCACATTAAAAGTCATACTGGTCAGTGATATTCCTGGGAGTAGTCCTGGAACTAGGTTAGCATTCAAATGTATGTAATGTTTAGAATTTAGAAATAATTCTCGAGGCCTTATCCTAAGTGACTGGTTTACATAAATGGCTTAAATTACTCAGATTTAAGCAACATATGAATTTGATCTTATTCCAGGATTTTATAATTTCAAGATTTTTTTTTTCTATTTCTGCCTCCTTAAGTTAAAAGTTATTCTGTAATCACCCTTTGCTTTCTGCCAAACTATGTATTTGCATTGGGCAATGTTTGTAAATATGGTTCCAAATTCTATTCAAATCATCGGATGCAGAGGTCTTTAGGGGCTCAGAACTCTTCAGTTTAAAAGGGACTATTTATTATGTAAATTCCAAGTAGGATCTGGGACAGCACCCCTTAATTAAACATTAATATTTCTGCAACATATAAAATAAACATTCACATTACATCATACAAATAAAGACTCTAAATTGCCTCTCCTTCAGTCAGATCCACTTTCTTTCTGCCTTGATTACAAAATTTTCTGCTTGGTTAGCCTGCTTGGTTACAAAAATTTTTCTGTCTTCATAGTTTTTGTTTGTTTGTCTTGTTTTTATATTTTGCAACTGTGGCTAAAAAAAAGGTAAACCTGTTTATAATAACAAAATGAAAGAAAATTTTGGAATGCTTTAGTTCACCTTTTTCTTGTAAGCAGGAAGGACTTAGCAAAAATTAATGTGAATAGGTGTTTACCCAAAAGTAAGATTTCTCAATGTTTAATAATCAACACAGTCATAATCTCATGTGAGGTTGGGCCTGGCCCTATATCTGTTGATGCCAAGTCTCACCACCTTTTTCTTTCTAAAAGAGATTGATTTTATCTAACATGCCAGATTAATCATATTTGGTTCAAAGGGCTGCCTTGCAGCTAGAAGGACCATGGGACCGCGTAGTGTTTCATGACCTATATGCTTAAGTGGAGGGTTTCTGTGAAAGCCTTTGTTTTCCTGTCACAGGTTCAGCCCCTTCCTGTTTCCCTTTCCCTTTTTCTCCCTGCATGGAATACAAATGTAATACTTGGAGGTGCAGCAGCCATCTTGCAACAAAGAGGTGACAAGCATGAAGATAAAAGCCTCATTCTTAGGATGGTGGAAGTAGAAAACAGAAAAAGCCCGTTGAGCCTCCTTAGCAGTCTTAAACTGCCCCAAACTTTCTGTTGCAGAGGGCCAGCTTATTATTTAATCTACTGTTTTTAAGTTTCCGTTATTTGTAGCTAAACACATTCCTAAATGCTACACCATATCACTACCTTTTTTCTCTCACTGATTCTTATATACAATAAATTGACTCTACCCACATGCACTCACAGGTATGATAGTTATAGCTCTGGCATATGTTCATACCCATTATTACTCCCCTTACCAATTAGAAAACCCTTTGATTTGTGTTAGTTTTCAAGGTTACCTTTAATCTACAGAGGGAATTACTACACAATGCTTCTTCTCTCATCTTTCACATAGGCTTGTTCCCTTTCATATATGCTTGTTCTTTTCTCAAATGTTCTGTTCTTAACTTACAGAGTCTTTTCCTTCCTCTTCGAGATTTGAGCTGTCTATTTTCAAGTTTCTTTCAGGTTGTTCTATGGTGTATAGTTCATTGAAAGTGATTCCTCATATCTATGTCTGCTCTCTCTGTGGTCTTTTATTTCCTGTAAGCATATCTTTAGAGGTAATTGTGACCTCTGTTTGAGTCCTATTCGATTGCAGGGCTGTAGAATAATCTGTATGGGTCTTGTTGCCTTAACTGGAATTCTGTTATAGGCTGAATATTTGTGTTCCCCTAAAATTCATATGTTGAAATCCTAATCCCTAGTGTGACAGTATTTGGAGGTGGGGGCTTTGGGGAGTGCTTAGGTCATAAGAATGGAGTCTTCATGAATGGGGTTAGTGCCTTATAAGAAAGACCCCATCATGTAAAGCTATAGTGAGTAGACAGCCGCCTATAAACCAGGAAGAGGGGTCTCATCTGACACCAAGTCTGTCAGTGTCTTGATCTTAGACTTCCAGGCTCCATAACTGTGAGAAATAAATTTCTGCTCTTTTAAAGCCACCCAGTTTATGGTATTCTGGTATAGTAGCCTGACCAGACTAAGATAGTTTCCTTGGTGTTCACTGTTTCTGTATAAATTTTTACCTTTGTCTCTTTGTTTGAGGCTTTCAGACGGTGGAGAGAAAACTTAGAAGAACTTGGGAACCTACCTGTGCAGTGAAAAAGGCTGGGAAATCCAAATTAGAGTTTGTAAGCTAGCAGTTCACCAGCTACTCAGCTCTCAGATATGTCTTGTCTGTTCAACCCAGTGTTAGTTCACTCAATTGTTTAAAAAAAATGAATTTACTGTCAATATTTTGGTATAATGCTTAGAGAAAATAAAGAATATCTTATAAACTTAATATTCAGACAAAAACGTGTCTCTTTTGAAAAAATACAAGTCGGCCAGTTAACTCATTTTAATTATCAGCCTGGCTCCTGTAGACTCTTAAGTTTTTCTGCAGATAGGCTCTCGAGTCAAAGTAGCTATGGGGCCTTGGGCAAGTCAGAACCTTCGAGTTCATCATATGTGAAACCAGAACAATAAAACTGCCTAGTGTAGACATGAAAATTGGCTGAGATTGAGGAGGAAAGCATTTTGGGAACTCTAAAGTGTTATTGTATTAAAATGCTAGTATCATTTAATGTGTTATAGTGTTAACACTTTCACTTCCCCAATTTTCTTTTTTATATCACAGAAGTTATTTCTTAGTACTTATGAATGAATATTTGTCTTGTATTTCATATGAAACATTATCTTTGCCTAAAACTTACCTGAGAGCATGAGCCAAATAAAATGAAATCTTATAGACAATCTACTTTAAAAAAACGTTGTAATTCTTCCGAAGTATGGAAGGTCGTTTTCAGAAATGGCTCCTAATTCACACTTTTGGATAGTGCCTCCAGTTGGATCCTTCTAACTTATTTTAATATATAGATTATGGCAGAAGTGACACCGTGTGACTTCTGAGGCTAGGTCATGAGAAGCTCTGAAGCTTTTGTCTATGTCTTTTGGGATGCTTGGTGTGCAGGAAGTCTTACCAACCACGTAGAAAGCCTGACTACCAGGATCCTCTGCCATGTTGTAAGGAAGCCTGGCCTAACCACGTGGAGAGGTACTGTGGAGAGAGAGAGGTTCTTAGCTAGCCCTTCAGCTGTTCTAGCTGCCTCAGCTCAGGCACCAGGCATATGAGGATAAGTCTTCATCTGATTGCAAACCCGAGACAACTCAAGTGAGAATTTTCCTGAGGGGCCTAGTTAGCCACCAAAATTATGAAAAAATAATAATAAAATTTTAAGCCACTAAGTTCTGAGATACTTGGTTAGACAACAATACATAATATGAACACTACATTAGTTTACAAACTTAATGAGATCCAAATAAAAGTACCAACAAGATATTTGAAACTAGATAAGCTGATTCCAAAGTTTACATGGAAAAATCAACTAGTAAGAATGGCCAGGAAAATTCTGTAAAAGATAGGTCAAAGGGGCAATGGGAGAGGGTAAAGAATGGAGGTGGATAGCTCTATGAAATATTAAAACATTTTAAAATGTAATAGTTAAAACAGTTTGGTACTGGAATCTGCTGGAAGATAGGAACTCTAGATCAATATGGGAGACAGAAACTCTAGAAATAGACCCCAACACAAATAAAGCTTAGAATATGACAAATATGACATTTCAAATCAAGTAGGAAAAGGCAGTTATTTAATAAATGGCGTTTATAAACTTGAATGGTCATTTGGAAAAAGATAAAGTTATAGCCATGCCTTATATCTTATATCCAAATAAATTCCAAGTGAATCAGGCGTTTAAACAGAAAGGAAAAAACAAACAAACAAACAAACTATTAAAACACCAAAAGAATCCATAGGAGAATCTTCTTTTATAATCTTTTAGTGGAAAAGTCAGAAGCCATACAATAAAATTCAACTACATAAAAAATCTTCAAGGCAAATGCCACCCTAAGGAAAGACAAAAGATAAAAAATAAATGAGGGGAAAATGTTTGCAAGATATTCACAATTAAAGCCTAAATTTCCTATATATAAGAAGTGTCTTCAAAGTAATAAACCAACAGTCGAATAAGAAAATGAACAAAAGGTTTAAAAATATAGTACACAGAAGACCCATTTAAAAAAATATATATACATATATATTTAGACCTGTTAAAAATATATGTATATATAATATAAATGGAGCCACTTTAAAATAGTCAGAGTTGCCATTCCGGAGGAATTGCCTTGCACATCTAACTCCTCAAACCTCTGGAATGTTAAAAGTGGGCAAATTAACATTTGGACGGGTCTAAAGCAGTACTGTACTCCAAAACAACTGTTTGTTGTGACTACCAGTGACAATTCAAGACATTCTTTAGAATTAACACCACTATGTTAGCACCACTTATCTGCACCCATAGAAAGTCCTTCCTTCTAGTCATGTCATTGTTCCTTCTTTTTTCCCCTCCTAAACACCCCTTGCCTTCACCTCCTAATCCGAACACTATTTAGGTTTCTAGCTGAATCAGTGCTTCCTGAATAAGCTATTCCTTTGGCTCGTAAATAAACACTTGTTGCCTATCACTTTGGCCTTTTATTTTTAGATTAACACCATGATAAAGTTAATTTATAAATTAGGTGTAAATTAACAATAACTACTAATAAAATACAATTACAACATTTTACTGTAATAAAAGTTATGTGAGTGGATTTGGGGCCATTATTAAGTAAACTAAAGTTTACTTGAACACAAACACTGCAATATCACGACAGTAAGGATGGGTAGCTATATAGTATGGATTACTCACGTCTGGGGCGAGATGGTACAGGATGATGTGAGGGACAACGTGAGAGTTCACCATGCTATTCACAGCAACGTGCAGTTTAAAACTTATGAATTTTTATTTCTGGATTTTTCCACTTCGTATTTTCAGACTGCAGTTGAACACAGTAACTGAAACTGAGAAAAGAGAAACCATGGATAAGCGGGGGACTACTATATACCACTAAATAGTAATATCTTGTGAACTCCTCATAGTCTTAAAGTTTTAACTGTTTCCCCTCATTTGAGTTTAAGTTTTTAAAAAAGAGCTTTCTAGTGAGAATGTGTATGTATGCATATGAATATCAAGGCAGAGGGAAGTTGTGGCCAATCTGTAGTGTTCTTTCTAATTTATTATTAAAAATAACCCTTCATTGACCTTGGTGGGAGAGAAAGCAACTTTCCTCTGCCCTTCAAAGTTCTTTGGGGTGGTCTAATAATTAAATCTATACGAATCAGATTAACAAGAGAAAATAACCAAATTTAATTACATACATACATATGGGAAGCCTACATAGGTACATGAATGAGTCAGAAACCTCACACACAGGAGAGGTTTAGGGACGGAAAGCCAGAAGGATGTATCTATGGCATTCTGAGCTACAGACAGGTAAGGCTCCTAGACGCTTCAGCGAGGAAAAGGTCATTACACGATAAGAAGAGCAGTTATTCAGTAATTAGTAGTTTGCTCTATCATGTAGATAGGTCATAAAGATGAACTCTGATAATCTCTTATTATGGGCAAGGACCCTGATTTAAATTCTTCTAGGTGTTTTGAGAAGAGGGGTGAAGTTTCTGTTGAGCTCGAAGAACCTCGGTTGCCTTTAGCTCAAAAATAATCTGCATACCACAGAAGCACATCTTGGGGTGACTCATTCTGAACCCCTATGCCTTCCTTTAGTATCCAGCTCTCATTCCATTTTTCTACAATCATGTTGTATGTGTGTGTGTGGGGGGCATGAATGGGTGTACCTATAATAGACTCATAACTAAGTATATACTCAGGTATGAGTAGTAGGGTAAGTCACATTCTTTTAAGAATTTGATATTAGACTTCTGCTTTCATAGCAAATGAATTTCTAAACATTAGCTCAGTGCAGCTTTGAGTAGTGTCCAATTAGTCAGCAAGAGCTTAGATGTGAGAGTGTGAACTGTGGATGAAAAAAAGACCACGTGCTAAACCTGACAAGCTGAGGGAAGGCCACATGGCAGGACCTACAAACTCGGAGACGGAAAGTAACCACATAGAATGGTCTGAACATAAAAATTCCTAACTAAAGGCCAATTGTGGTAGGTAATCATGTCCTTGGCCTGTAGCTTCCTGGACAAAAGTTAATCTTTACCTTAAGTGAGCCTGTCTATTGTCTTTTTGCATCTAAGATAACATACCTTTGAAATGTCAGAGTAATCTTTTCTAGACCCCTCAGGCTACAACCTCCAAACCAGAGCACAAGATCCAGAACCCCTCATTGTTCTTTTGTTCCCTGCATACCATCTCTATGTTCTGTAAATGTTAATTATTAACTCTCTTGTACCCACCAATGTAAAAGAAGTATGTGTCTCTCCATTTTACTTTTTATCCAGTCCCAGAGATTTCCCCACTTTGCTTTCTCCCAACCCCTTAATCTACTACCAGTGGATTTCATGTAACCTTCCTTACAATCTCCTCTTTTGACACTAATGAATAAAATAAACTGTAAAACTGCCATTCTCTGGAGAGTTTTCTCAGTCCGTTCAGATTTTGCTTCCTGGCAATTGTCATCAGTTTGGCTCAAATAAGCTCAAAAATCCTCTACAAATTTGGAGTTTCTTATGTCAACAGAACTAAAGACAAATTCCTTTTGAAAGAGAACTTTGATCTTTACCAGATCACTGCCTGCTTCCACCATACAATCTCTCTCTATCTTTGCTTTTGATGCAACAAATATGTGGCCCTGCATTTAGTATGTTTCTCTAGTAATGGTTGTGAGGGGTGACAAGGCGACAAGTTTGGAGTGATGTTTGGGTCATAGTAGCATAATATCAGGCACCAATGACAAAAAAAGTCTGATAGTGCTGAGTCACTGTGATTTGGCAATTCTCTAGTGTAAAGGATATGTGGAGAGTTCGACTTTCACTTCCTTTCTTTTGCTGAAGTAATCCTGCAGGCACTGCCACATGATAACCTTTCATTCACTAAAGCTCACACTTCAGGTGTTTCTCTCCCTTACATAATAAAAATGGCAGGTTGGCCATGTCACTGGGGTAAACTGAGATTACCTAGCTGCCTTGAAGACTCTGGGCTAGATTTACCTGTGAACCTTAGGCAGCGATGATATAAAGGAACTGGAATTAATGCTCAGGCATCAGGACACTGAGATTTAGATTAATGAGCAAAAGAGTGTGTGTCTGCATGTTTCTTATCCTCACTCTTAGGTGGTTAAAAAATTTACTCAAGGTTGAACACAGCAGTGGTACTTCAAATTGCTTTAGGGAGAAAATTACAAATAAATAATCTTTAGGAGCCAGACAACTTTTTGGAATACGAATAAGAGAACTCTAGCATAGGTGAGGTGAAACCCCTTTTGGCAATGACAGCAAGGTCCACCTAGATAGATTGGTTATTTGTGATAGAAGTGGTGGCGACAAGGGGGATGGGAGAATCAGCTGAGACTATCCCACTCGGGATGGTGGAGTTAGTCATCCTGAGGTAGGACAATGCTAAGAATGTCTAAGAGCATCATGAGTGATCCAAGATCGTCTCAGAAAAACAAATGTTCATTACTTTATGTTTGCTACCCTAATTGTTGGTAGCTACTCTCACAGCAGACCATAGTTATCTGCCTGTACTGTTGGATTGGAAACTACTTGACTGAAGGGACCAAATTAAATTCATCTCTGTACCCCTAATGTTTAGTAAGTGTTTCTGTTGAATTAGTGAATAAATCCATCTATCCTCTACTTTTTATTAAAACTCTGAGATGGGATGAGAATAATCAAGTGTTTCTTCTTGTGTTCTGGAGCCCTCCACGGGGCCTTTGCCTCTACACTCACATGCAGAGTGAGCACCACATAAGTGTGAACTACATCTGCCATGATTACTATTAGTTCTAAGTTTGCTTTGAATCTTCATGTGTAAAAGTTTAATTTACTTTGGTATTTTGTCTGAGCATATTCCCATGGTTCCTTCTTTCAATTTCAACCATGTACAGTGTTGCCTGTGTGTGGTAGATAGACAGTCTATCCGACCTCAAAATATTTGCATTTCCTTTGCACAATAGTTTGAAGTTTTATTACTATGACCCCGTCTAGTTTCGGTACAAATGTTCATGTTTCTCATAGTTCCAGGTTCTTCTGAACATTTTCCTAATGACTGAAGTCATGACAGCAGTCCTTGGGAGCTGATTTTATAGCTACACCTCTGATAAGACACAATCTCAGGCAGGGAATTTGTAGCCAGTCTGTAGTCACTCTCCTTACTTAACAAAATATCCCCCCCTTGACCTCACTTCAATGGCCAATTACCATTTCTTTTTTTACAACAACCTGTTTGGGGACATCTACATTCCCATCCTCATTTCCTTCCCACCCACTTTCACCTTAACTCGCTGTCTCCTGACTTGAGCTTCACCGCTTATCAGAACACATGGCTTTTTCTAAACCCCTGCTGCTTTTCTTCTGACCTTGGGCCAGCAGCCTGTTTTCATAACACCCTTTCATGCTTACTTAGTTGGTTGAACATTTTTAGAAAAGCAAAACCCCTGAAACCAAAAGCTTTCCCTCCTTTGAGATAGTGTCTTCTTCTTGACATCTGTGACCCTGAGCTTATCTGCATGCTTACTCATCTGGTAAATGGGTTAATGCTAACTGTTCATGGGCACACTTGCTCTTAACATCCTTCAGCTTTTGAGGAGAACGCCCAACTCCCTTCTCTCTACAGATCCACATGTGTGTGGGCCCCTCCCAGCTCTGCTTCTACACCCCACTCAGGACACTCTTAACTGCACATAGGCTTTTGGTTTTCTAAACCCATTTTAAAATTTACATCTTCAAGGAAAAACTTACTTTCTTAAACTTTTCCTATGCTAATAACTCCCTCAGGGTTTGTGGGAACAGCGTTTTCTTTGTATCATATTAATTTATCAACACATTAATACTTCTTTGTAATTATTCTTAATCTTTTTTCATGAATGCATATTGTTCTCTGAAACCCTTTCTCCTATTTGGATTTTTTCCAAAATGGATAATATTGTCTTCCATACACAGTGGACACTAGCTAAGTGTTGGTTAAAGTAGATAACAATTTAAAAATGTAATATTTACTCCTGCCAGCTGAATAAATGTTTAACTTACTTAATATGACTCTGTGACAACTTGCCCAGAGACTGCCACTTCCTGCTTTCAGGAAGCTAACTTGTTTCTGTTCCTAACTTGTTGCTTCTCTGGGTCATTTTTTACTACCTGGCTCTGATGTAGCACGTGGGGCTTATAAAATAGACCAGGGTGTTGTTCTTATGTATTTTGTTACCTACATCACATGCCAACCTGTTGTAAAGACTAAGAACTCACCATGCTGAGTGCTTGTAAAAGAGATAATGAGGTTTACTTGGGAGAGACGGAACCCATAGAAGCCTCTCATGCAAGATTGCTGGGGTTGAAGTTCAGGTTTTGCTATACTCGAGCTGTGTGATTTTTGACCAACTTACTTAACTTGTCTGTTTCTCAGTTTCCTCTGCTGTAACATGGGAGTGATGATGATTATATTGATCTCCTAGCATTGCTATGAGGATTAAATGACTAAACATAAGGCACAGAGTAAGAATTATGTAAGTATTAGCTACCACAGCCACAACTACTATTTTTATGCTTGCCTTGCATCTTTGTACGAGATATGATTAAACCATATGATGAATGTTCAAATAAAAAAAATTATTACACGAAAAGAGACATTGCCACTAATCCCCCTGAAAATACTCCCCTTGCTTCAAACACACTTATCTCATCATTCTTGCCACTTTCTGATGCAGTTCTGCAAGTCCTGTTTCGCGAGTGTCTTCAGTTGGTTGTTGTGGCTGCCTCCATGTCCTGAATCATTTTGACTTTGGGGAAGAGCCAGAAGTTGCATGGTGCCAGGCCTGGTAAATAAGGTGGATGAGGACACATTGTAATGTTTGTATTTGACAGAAATTGCCACATACCAGAAGCGAAGTGTGACACGGAGCATTGTCATGGTGAAGGATGATTTATGGCGCACTTTAAAACACCCCTTCTCTCAACTATAGCTCATACCCGACTGACTGCAATGAACAAGTTGAAACTTGTCACTCACTGTTATTAAGGTTCGATGCGCCACTTCCATATTGAAGATCACTGCCTTTCCATTGGATGGCAGCAGCATTTACCATATATTGTAATAACAACAGAAAGTCTCCGTGTCACACATTGCTTCTGGTATGGCAATTCTGTCAAATAAAAACATAAGTGTGTCCTCATCCACCTTCTTCACCGGATCTGGCACTGTGCAACTTCTGGCTGTTCCCCAAAGTCAAAATAACCATGAAAGGTAAATGTTGTGAATCAATTCAGGACATGGAGGCAGCCACAAACCCGCAACTAAAGACACTCAGGAAAAAAAAGGTCCAGAACTGCTTCAGAAAATGGCAGTAATGATGGGATAAGTGTGTTTGAAGTGAAAGGGAGTATTTTGAGGAGGGGTTAATGGCAATGTGTTTTTTACTGTAATAATTTTTTTAAAATTTATACATTCACCATATATATTTTTCTAAATCACACCTTTTATGTGTACATGGATTCAGAGTCCACACATAAAATGAGTTGTTAGGTTCATTTACCCTTAAGGAATAGATTCTGGAAGATTTGAATAGCACACAGCAAATGTTATCTGCCCAGGCAAAGCCAACTACAGACGGGGTTGAGAAGAGTGAAAACTAGGAGGAAATCCAAGATGGCAGAGTAGATAAACACTGTGCCTGCTTCCTTCCACGAACACATTAAAATTACAAGTAAATTATAGAACAATCAACCTGGAGAACCACCTGAAGTCTGGCTGAACAGAAGTTGTAATTTTTTATTTTTTAGCTGATCCATTCTGCCACCTGTTAGCAGCTCAGCGGCAGCTCAGCTTGGGCCGGGAATTGAACCGCTGTTGCTCAGAGCTCACACTCTTGAGCGAGCTCTTAACCAACAGCCACTCTGCCGGCCCCTGAACTGAAGTTTTATAACTAAGGCTATAAAGAAGCCATGTTGAGACTGGTAGGAGGGGCAGAGACACGAAACTGGCTGGCCACAAACCTCCGTTGTGGCGGTTGAGAAACAGGAGAGATTATCTCAGCCACAAAGGTTACTCTTGGAAGAGCAAGAGACCTCAGCCCCACACACTGGCCTCCCTAGCCTAGAGAACCCGTGCCAGGAAGAGGAGCCCCCACAACAACTGGCTGCAAAATCAGTGAGGATTCTGACCATTCAGGTGGGACTGAAGGTTGTAGGAAACCCAGACATCCTCTTAAAGGGCCCGTGCACAGACTTTCTCATTTGCAGACACTTACCCTGTGCTCTGGCGGTGGGATAGTGCCTCAGGAGTGTTGGAGGCATGCAGGGAGTAGATTGAGGTGTGTGGATTTGAGGCGAGGGCTGGAGGTTGGTCAGCATTTTCCCTGTGTGTGGTCTTTCTCTGGTGCAGCCTTCGGGGAAGCACCATATCCCCTGTATTGAGCCCACCCCCACACTGCCAAACCTGAATCTAATTGGTCTGGTGAGATCTGCAGTTCTGCCCTGCTGATTCACTAGGACCTCACTTTACCTAACACCCCCAGTGCTGGAGGCACTTTCTCAGCGATCAGCCTTCCTCGCCCACATTGCACTCTTTCTTGGAAAACTATTGGAGTCTGCAGGCCCTGGGTGGGCTGCAAGTGGCCTCAGTGTGTCCTGAGACTTTTGCTGATGAACTTCAGTCTCAGCCCTGGCACCAAACCAGAGTCTACATTAACCTGGTGACTATAACTCTTCCCACTCTAGTGACTCCCTGAGATCCTGCTCCACCCAACTCATATACCACATGAGGCTTTATCAGTGGCTGAAACTTAAGGGAGCTGGCAGGTGGCAGCAGGCCTCAGTGTGTCCTGGCTTTTCTCAGAGATACCCCAGGCCTGGTACTGCTGGCAGTCATTCTCAGTTCATGGTGTGGCCTCTCCCATATGCCTCTAGAGTTAGCACAATCTGTGAACAAGCACAGATCACTTTCTAGCTCCTATCAGGTAGTCCCTGACTGGTCACAGGCAGTGGATGACCAGGGCCTGAACCAGAGCCCCTCCCAACATACCTGGAGGTTGGCTTCAGACCACATACCTGAACCAACATACCTGGAGGTTGGCTTCAGACCACATCAGAGCATCACCCAATTAGCTCCACAAGTGGCTAATAACTTATAAGGTTGCTCCCATAAGATTGTCAGCTGATTTCTCAATAGAAACTTTGCAGGCCAGAAGGGATTGGCACAAAATATTCAATGTAATGGAAAGTAAGGACCTACAACCAAGATTAATCCACCCAGCAAAGCTATCATTTAGAATCAAATGACAGATAAAGAGCTTCCTGGAAAAGAAAAAGCTAAAGAAGTTCCTCACTACCAAACCAGTATTACAAGGAATGTTAGAAGGATTTATTTAAGATGGAAAATAATGATCAAACTTATGAATAATAAAATGGCAATAGCTACATATCTATCAACATTTACTTTCAGTGTAAATGGATTAAATGCTTCAATCAAAAGACATAGGAAGGCTGAATAGATAAGAAAACAAAATCCTTACATATGCCACCTACAAGAGACTCACTTCAGATTGAAAGACACACACTAAAAAAGTAAAGAGATGAAAAAAGGTATTTCATGAGAATGAAAAAAGAAAGAAAGAAAGAAAGAAAGAAAGAAAGAAAGAAAGAAAGAAAGAAAGAAAGAAAAAAAGAAAAAGAAAAAATAAAACAAAACAAAAGCTGGGATATCGATATTTATACCTGACAAAATAGACTTTAAAACAAAGCCTATAACAAGAGAAAAAGAAGGACCCTGTAATCCCACTTCTGGGTATTTATCTGAAGAAACCCAAATGCCACTTTGAGGAAACATGTGCATCCATATGTTCATTGCAACATTATTGACAATGGCTGAGATGTGGAAACAGCCTGGGTGTCCATCAACGGATGAATGGATAAAGAGGAGGTGGTACATGTATATGATGGAATATTACTCAGCCATGGAAGGGAATGGGCTCTTGCCACTTGTGGTGCCATGGATCAACCTGGAGGGTACTGTGCTAAGTAGAGTGTAAGACAAAGAAAGACAGATGCAATGTGATTTCACTTATATGTGGAATCTAAAGAACAAAATAATCAAACAAAACAGAAACAAACTCACAGATACAGAGAGCATATTGATGGTTGCCAGATGAGAGGGGGATGCAGGGGGAGTGAAAAAGAAGGAGAGATTAAGAAGTACAAATTGGTTGTTACATAGTAATGATGGGGATGTAAGGTATAGGTAGCATAAGGAATATAGTCAATAATATTGTAATAACTATGTATGATGTCAGAAGGGTATTAGATTTGTTGGGGTGATAGATGGGAGCGGATTGGGAAGCAGGGTGGAAAAGGAGAAGGGATTAAGAAGTAGAAACTGGTAGTTACAAAATAGTCATAAAGATGTAATATAAAGCAGAGGGAATATAGTCAATGATATGGTAGTAACTATGTATAGTGTCAGGTGGGTACTAGATTAGTCAGGGTGATCATTTCTTAAATTATATAAATGCTTAACCACTAGGCAGTACACCTGAAATTAATATAAAATAATATTGAATGTCAACTGTAATTGAAAAATTTTAAAAGGGGGAGAAGTTGAAGGGAAATAAGAGGTCTAAATTTCCAGGTTTAAAATAAGTCATGGGGATATAATGCATAGAATAGGGAACATAGTCAATAATATTGTGATAGCGTGGTACAGTGTCAGTTGTTGGTTGGACTTACGGTGATCACTTCTTTAGGTATATAAATATTTAATAAGTATGGTGTACACCTGAAACTAAGATAATATTGTATGTTAGCTATATTTTAATTAAAAAAACTTAAAAAAGAAGAAGAGTGAAAACTAGTTTCTATTCTACAACTGCTCTGCTCTCTTCAAAACCGTTGATGTCAAGACAAAGGAAGTCTACTCCAGGTTGAACGAGACTCAAGAAGCATGACAACTAAATGCAATTCCTGATCCCGTGTTGGTTCCTGGATTGCTATAAAAGACATTGATCATAACTAACACATACTAAGAAAAGTTTAAGCAAACAAAACTCTTCAGTTTATGAATTATCTAACAATTTCCAAAATAAGGCTTTAGAATATTGGTTAGAATATAGTTTTTGAAACTTCAAAGTTCACTTATAATCCATAGGAGGGTATGTGTGGCAACTCTGTTTGTAACAACAAAATGCTGAAAATAACCCAAATATTTATCAACAGGGGACTTGGATATCCATCACTGGAGAATTATGAAGCTGTGAATGAGGTCTGTCTCTGTAGGCTGCTATCTCTATATGCTCTGCAGGATGCATTATTAACCAAAAATAACTAGATGGAGGAAAATATATAATACGCTACCATTTATCCAGAAAAGGTGGCAGGAATATGAATATATAAAATCACAACAATGAAATAAAGGCACACTTAAAAGAAACTAAAAAAAATTGGTTATTTATATTGGGAACTTGGTAGAGGAAACATGGATAAAAACTGCACTTACTGATTATAACTTGTTTTATAAATTTGACTTTGGAGCCAGTTAAAGATTTTACATAATTATAAAATCAAATTAAAGTTTAAAATCAATTCCCCAAAACAGTAAAATAAAGATTACTGTATTGAGTTAGTGACTTAACTACACAGAGAGGAATTATTTATAGTGACTTTAAAAAAAACAGTAATTTAATGTATAAACCTCGGGATACACCCTAAGAATAAAAAGAATTACAAATATACTTTAAGCTACTTTCAGCTGCTTATAATAGTATTAATGCTGC